TTTATATCCAAAACTGTGTGTGTGTGTGTGTGTGTGTGTGTGTGTGTGTGTGTGAGAGAGAGAGAGAGAGAGAGAGAGAGAGAGAGAGAGAAAGAGAGAAAGAGAGAAAGAGAGAAAGAGAGAAAGAGAGAGAGAGGGAGGGAGGGACACGGAGACAGAATCCATTTGGAATTCTTTGGTAGATGATTTAACTATACAGGATTCAAACATTTTTCTTCCGTGAAAGGCTAGCCAGTTGTTTCAGTAATATTTATTAAATAGTCCATCCTTTAACCACTAATATGAAATTGCACTTTAATTGTATAATAGATTTACAAATCTATATTACCTGTTTTTGTACTCTGATCTGTACTGTTTATATGATACGTGTCTGTGCCTGTGCTACTACCATATTTTAATTACTGTAGCATATTAGTTGGCAAGGCATATCCTACCTTCTAGTTGTTTTTCAAAACATTCTTAGTTATTTTTGTGAATTGTTTCTTCCCAATGAGAATCCTCTAATTACATAAAAATTCGGTTAGAATTATTATATTTAACTTGTAGATTAATAATTGACATCTTTATGGTGAATTTGCTTCCAATTATTTACAAGACATTCTAAAGTACAGCAACTAAATTTCTTCCTTTAATGCATTTTAAACCAGTAGAATTACTCTTTATTGGCCAGTATAGCTCAAGGATTTGACCTTCTTAAATGTGAACTTTTCATATATTAATTGTGTTTTGTAATATAAATACTTTTATCACTATGACATCTATGTTTCTTATTCTCTTTATTTTTACCTCATTTATATTTATTTTGATAACCTGTTGTTATAAACTTGGGTATATTTATTTCTTTTTACATTTTCTATCATGCCCTCCAGTTTTTTCATTATCATCCTCCAAAACCTTGCCCACATTCTCCTTTTACTCCTCAGTTTCATTCCAAAGTCTGTTATGTAAGCATAATTACCCTTATCCTTCTTGCACAAATCTTTCCTTCATCTGTTAGATGACTCTCAAAGGATTAGTTTGAGTTTTTGGCTTGAGTTGTATCCAGAGGCACAACTGCTATTAGTCTGTGCTCCAAGTTCCACCTGACTTAGAAGAATGGGAAAAAAGATAACTGTAAGCAGGAGAAGGAGATCATTAATTTTTGCTCACCTGACCAACGGAACACTTTAAGATAATATTAAGTCCTGTAGGTAAAGATTGGAAATTTTGTGACAAATCTGAATTAGAATCGAGGAACTTATTTATGAGTAGATTATAAACTATTTTCACTGTTACCTCCACTGAACTTAACCAGAGCATTTGTAGTATCCTTGATTTTCCTTTCACTCCACATGTTTTCCGAGAATATTAAAATGGTCGCTTGACCCTTCATCTTTATTTTTTCCATTAACAGTTCTTGCTTGCTTCTGTCTAGTGAGTACAATATGATGACAGTTTAAGTTTTCGCTATTGATTCAAGATCTTGAAAAGCTTCAAGATCATTAACTTGAAGGTGATTGACCCAAATGCCAACATATTTGAAATCTGAGATAATTATTGTGACATAGAAAATGTGTACACATTTTTATTTTAATGTTTCAGTTAGAATTCTTAGTAACATTTTCTTACGATTTAATACTTCTTTATGGAACTAAACACTTTCTGATTTAATGTGAATTTGGATTAATTCAATTTCCAGTAAATTGACAATTAAAAATTGGTTTATTCAGAAGGTTAAGGATTTGCCTCCTTAATAATTTCTATAAGATTAAGAATTTAACTTTGTCTAGAAGTTGAACAGATCATTTCTGATCTTTTGAAGTTACTGGTTCAATTTTAATGTTTATAACATCATCTTCAATTATTTGTAGGGATGTTTTCATTCTCTATAGTTGGACACAAACTATCCCAATACTCAGTTGCTTAAAACAAAAACAGTCATTTGTTTTGCTCACAAATCTGCATTTTAGGCAGGGTTTGGCAGGCATGTTTGTCTGTGTTCCATGTGGTGTCTGCTAGGATTCTCAAATTGGGCTAGAGGATCATTCACATAGCTGGCAAAGTGACATTGATTATTGATTGATTTTTCCTGACGTGGATCTCTCTGTGGGCACCTTGGACTTCCTTACAACATGATGGGTGGGTTCCAAGAGTGAATATCCCAAGAAGCCATGTTGTAAGAGACAGGAAATGAAAACTACTAGTTTTTTAAGGCCTGGGTCTGGAAACACACATATTTTCACTTCTGTATTATATTGATCAAGCAGTCACAGGGTTCAGATTCTAGGAATAGGGAACCTGCAGCTCTTGGTGGGAGAGAGGAGAGTCAAAGAAATTTGGAGTCGTGTTGTCTTTCGTTCGTTCGTTCATTCGTTCGTTCATTTATTTATTTTGAGAGAGAGCTTGTATGTGCACACACGAGCTGGGAAGAGACAGAGGGGGAGAGAGAGAAAATCCCAGGGAGGCTCTGTGCTAACCAACTGGGGCTCTATCCCAAGAGCCATGAGAGCATGACTTTAGCCAAAATCAAGTGTCTGATGCTTAACCCACTGAGCCACCCAGGCACCTCATGGAGCCATGTTTTCAAAGTGCTACAAGGGTTATGGGAATTTTACTATTCTTAGTTGATAAAGTTAATTTGTTTCAAAGGGAGAATAGTGTTAGTACTTTGAATCAGTAATGTTTATTCTTATTTAGATATTTTCCAATGCAACTGGTTTCTTTTTATCTTTTCACCATTAAGGCTTGTTGAAGAGTATATTTTAAAGTAATAAAAACAGTATTTGCAAGATCTATGTGAGGAAAATTACAAAACTCCAAAGAAATCAAAGATCCTAGTAAATATATATGGACAGGAAGACTCAATAATGTTAAGATGCCAGTTCTTCCCAACTTAATTGGTGGATTCAGCACAATCCCAGTCAAAACCTCAGCAAGCTGTATTGTGAATGTCAAGAAACTGATTCTAAGCTTATATAGAAAGACAAAAGACCTCAAATATTTAGTGTAATAGTGAAGAAGAATAACAAAGTTATAGGTCTGATCCTGACTTTAGTGATCAAGACAGTGTGGAACTGGTGAAGAATAGACCAATAAATCAATGGATAGAATTGATAACACAAATTTCAACATTTCAACACAAATAGATTACTGATCTTTGAGATAGGAGCAAAGACAATCCAAAGGAAAAAATAATCTTTTTATTAAGTGGAACTGCAACATGTCCACGTACTCTACCCACTGACCTTACACCATTCACAAAAATTAACTCAAATGGATCATAGACCTACATGGAAGAAGCATAACTATCAAGCTTCTAGAAGATAACGTAAAACTCTAGGTACCTTGGTTTGCTTTTGAGTTTTTAAATACAGCACTAAAAGCAAAATCCATGAAAGAAAAAATAGATGAGCTGGACTTTATTAAAATTAATGATCATGACTTGAGCTGAAATCAAGGAATTGGATGCTTAACTGACTGAGCCACCTGGGTGCCCTTAATTTTTTTCTTACAATATATAGATTTAGTTAAAAGTATTCAGAATGTTTTTATTGTCATGTTATTCTCTTAACGATTTCCAGAGTAAATAGATTTTTTTTTTTCCTTGAGAGAGAGAGAGAGAGTTGCATACAGGGGAGGGGCAGATAGAGAGGGAAAGAGAGAATCCCAGTCAGGCTCCACACCCAGCGGGGCTAGATCTTATGACCATGAGATCATGACCTGAGCTGAAATCCAGTCCCAGCTGTTCCCCCTGCTCCCAGAGTAAATAGATTTTTGAAAGTGCTAATTATACTACTTTAATTTAACAACCAGAACATATATTTTAACTATTTGTATAAAAATGTAAAATAATTTCCATTTAGATGTATTTTGTGAATATGTATTTCTGAGCAGGGTATTTAAAGTAATAGCTAATTATTAATTTTGGGAAATAACTGACATTTAAAAAAGTATATGTTCATAAAGCAAAAAAATCTTCTCTATTATCAGTTAATAATTATGCTATTAGTAGGTGGATTTTCTATAAAGCTGTGTATACCATAGCTGTTGAAAGTTGAACATGAAGTTTTGCATCAGGAATTAGTATTTATGTTGTGTCAGAATTATGGTGATTATACTTTATTTAAAACAGAAAGAACTCAATACTGTATATTCTATTGGTTTTGAAGTTTGAGTCACAATTGTAGGTGCTAACTTTCGAAAAAGAAATCTACATTGGATGGCTTAATATTTTGGAAAAATCTCAAATGCTAACTTGTCACAATCAGTGACAGCTCTGAAATTCATTAGTATAAACTACAGTGTGTACATGAAATTAAAAAAAACCTGTTAGTTTTAAGTAATTTCTTTCAGGTGAGGTTTGGGATGATGCTAATATAAAGGAATTAGATTTGGTGCCCATTATATTTCTGAGTTAATATTTCTATTTTAACTATTTAGACTTTCTTCAGTTCTGTGAATGGGATATGGGACTAGACTAATAACTAGTTAACTAATAAACCAAACTGTTAGTTAACATGATCATACAAATCATTTCTAGTTAAATTACTTCTGTTTTGAAATTAAAATGAAGAAACTTTTTATTTGTTAACATGATATAATTTTACAGTTACTTTAGGCCATTAAGAATATGATTGAGATTTTTCTTTTTCTTTCCGATGCCATCATTTAAGAATCAGTATTCCAGAAGAGTTGATACAGCTTTGCATTTTTCTTCCTGGTAGTGACAAACCAGCTACTGTAGACCCACAGTGTTCAGTACTTGTCACTGACAGCCTTTCTGTGACAGAGAGTCTATAGACTGACATAAAGTGCAGCCTGTTGTGAACTCCTAAGTGAGTCTGCCAGAAACTCAGCAGATAGAACTAATTGGGGAGGAAAGGATTTTTGTGCCTTCTCTTTCTTTCTGTTCTTTTTGTTTTGTAAGATAGATATTGTTAGTAGCTTGTTTATGTAAGATTTTTCTGCCTCTCTTTTCTCATTGCATGGATCATTTTTTAACTTAAAGTCTTGCACTGCAGGTCATTAAGCACTTCCACATGGAGGCTGGCACAGGACCCAGCTCGAGACGCACAGCTCATAACAGTTGATGAAAAATTGGTAAGAATTTTCTACTGTACATGGCTGTGATTCTGCCTTCAGGGTTATTTTTGTATAACAGCTTTTCAGTATCGTGTTCTGGGTTCTTCTAGGAAAATGATTTGAATTTAAATTTCTAGATTGTGTGTAAATTTTAAGAAGAAATTTTCATCACAAAAAGATAAAGACAATTTGTGTTAAGTGTAATACACAAATATTAAGTCATATAAAGATATTAAGAGGTTAAAATGGCAAAAGGCTTCATTTTTGTGGTGTTTATAAGTAACAATCAGAACATTTTAATTTAACAAATACAAATTGAATATACATATGAATGAATATGTAACTTTTATTTTCTCAGCTACACTCCTGTTTAAATTGTAAGACACCAGGTGGTACCTAAAATTAAGTATATTGGGTTTTTATGGGACCAGTTATTGTATTGTTATTATATGTATATATGTACACACAAATTGCATTTCTACATTATGCCTGAGAGGTTACAACTAGCAACAAATAATACTCTGTTAATCAGTAGCAGATAGAATTTTGGTCACTGTCACTTGTAAAATTTTTCAATGTGTGCTGTTACTTTAGATACAACTTCTTGTTTATATCTATATTGTAAAATAGCATACATTTTGTAAAGTCTCTAAGACTTATAAAAATGTGTAATAGTGTAAGCATACTTCTCATTTTTTATCTGGTTTACCATTATCAAATGTGTGGGTATCTTTCTTAACTACTTTTCCTCCAATTGTACATTCTTTTATCACTCAGTAAGCAAAATTTAATTTTTCATTTTTTTAAACGTTTATTTTGAAAGAGAGAGAGAGAGAGAGAGAGCATGCACCGGAGCAGAGTAAGGGCAGAGAGAGTCCCAGGCAGGTTCCATGATCAGTGCGGAGTCCGACTTAGGGCTTGATCTCATGATTGTGAGACCATGACCTGAGCTGCTTAACAGACTGAGCCACCCAGGCACCCCAGCATAATTTAAATAATAGGTCACACTTAAAAATGATCTAAACACCATTTATACCATTAGAGATATTAACAGGTACATAAACAAATGAGTTAACAGACAAGGGACGGATAGTTTGGAAAACTCACATGTCAGGCTTAAGGCTGGTTGGTTTTATCTTTAAACTGTCTCTATCTGCTTGCTGACATTGCCATCATCCTGGTCTAGGCCAGCATCATCTTTCACTTAGATTGCTACAGTAGTTTTTAAATTGATCTCTATAGATATTTCAATCTTCCTTTAATTCATTTTCCAAAGGATCATCAGAATAGACTTTTTTAACTGCTGTTTTTGTCACTTCTTGTGTGTAAAATCCATTGGTTTTCTTACTGACCTAGAAGTTAACATTAAAATCCTTACATGGTTCTTGAGGTCTTGCATGATTTAAGGCCTGCCTTCCCCTCGAGGTTTATTTTGTACCACTGTCTTTTATACTCTGTGCTCTAGCCACACCAAGCCTGGAACTTGTTTTCCTGTTTTGGGGCATTCACATTCCAGTTCATTCTGCCTAGATGCTTTTCACCAATCCCTTAGTTCTTCAACCAGGGGCCATCTACTTATTCTTCAAATATTAGTCGAACACCACTTGCTTAGTCAAGTATAAAAGAAGTGAGAGAGGTCTGTGTGAGAGGAGGATGAATTACCCATGTCATGGGTTCATTAATTAACGACGGTACTGCTTGAATTTTTCCAATGACTATCTTCTAAGCACCAAGAGACTGGCTTCTTGTTCTAATATTATGGGGTTTACTCTCTATAATAAATTTTCAAATTTTATAGAGTTTATTAGTAATGCTTCTGAGTTCTCTTCTTTCTAGTTTGAAGAATGAGTGAGGTAGCAATCTGTTGTTCTAAACAAGATGCTGTGAATCCTACCAGAGAGGTTTACAGACCGCTTTGAGTTTTGCATTTTTTATCTCATATCAGTTGCATACTTTCAATGAATCTTGTTGCCCTGTGTAGATTTTTCTCAGCTTTGTTATGTCTTGAAGTGTATTAGTGAAAATGTCAGTATGGTATTCCAGCTGAAATCAATTCAAGTCTTACACATAAATTATTCATAGCTATTGAAGTAATATTTGAACAGTAATTCAAACCTATAGGTAATTTTCAAACCTGAGGTTTAGCCATTGATTTAGGTTTATATTAAAATGCTGTATTAAATACTCAGATAGGTAGCATAACGCTGATAGGGGTTTCAGTCTTCTTGTTCCTACACATTACTAGATGTTTCAGTTGATAGAGTAATGACATGACCACTGACTGAAGGGTACTTCTAGAAATATTGAGCAATTGGACTTGATTATATATGCATTTTGAATAAGAAGGATTCATTCCAAGACCCACAGTACATGCCTGAAACTATGGATAATACCATATATGCTATATATGCTATGTTTTTCCTATACATACATACCTATGATAAAGTTTAACTTACAAATTAGGCACAGTAAGAAATTAACAACAACAATAATAAAATAGAACAATTGTAACAATATACTAATAAAAGTTATGTGAATGTGGTCTCTCTCTCTTGTGATGATGTGAGATGACAAAATGCTCACGTGGTGAGATGAAGTCAGGTGAATGATACAGGCTTTGTGATGTAGCATTTGGCTAACATTGACCTTTAGATATGTTAGAAGGACAATCACTAGCTTTCTTCTTCTTTCTTCTTCTTTTATGTTAGTACAAGCAGGGGAGGGGCAGAGAGAGGGGGAGAGAGAGAATCCCAAGCAGGATCCGTGCTGTCAGCACAGAGTCGCATGCAGGTCTCAATCTCAGGAACTGTGAAGCATGACCTCAACCGAAACCGAGTCAGATGCTTAACTCACTGAGCCACCCAGGCGCCCTGAGAATCACTAGCTTTCGGACTGTGGTTGACTGTAGGTAACTGAAACTGCAGAAAGCAAAACTGTAGATAGGGTGGTGTGGGGGTGGGGGATCGTCTGTATATTAACATTAATGATAAGAATATTTCAAAAATGTTAAGTAAATGTAAGTATTTTAGAAGGAGATGTGGAAGCAGCATTTTAACATGATATGTAATGTAAACCAATTTATTAGCTAAGTATACCATCTTCATTAACTGCTCAACACAAGATTACTGTTATATTTGTACCCGAAATTGGATGAAAGCTAAAATCTTAATGTAAGGTAAGCTAATTGGCCATTATCATGATTTCTATTGGATATTCTTATATAATGTATTAAAATTAATACAGGTGATAACCTATTATAGCCGAGGGCTTTAGCATATGGACTAAGCTTAGTTGAGGATAAATTTTTGTGGTTATTGTAAAATGGATCCTGGGAATTTAAAGCCAGAGGATAACTTTAAATGTTACCTAGTTTTATTACTGAATCCAATTATTTCTCGTTTGAAAGATTGTTCAACCTTTTATTCAAGATAAATTGTATGGGGAAATCCAGTAAGTAATTAACTAGATAAAAGCTGAACTGTTGGAGGGTAAGGGTTGGGAACATGAAGGAAGACTTGTAAACTTTCCCCAAGACTGCCTTCTTGGGTAACTTCATAGAGTGAGATTTGGAAAGATAATTTAATCTTCTGTCCTTTTTATTAGACCAAACAACTTGTTCTCAAACTTCTGTTTTAAAAATTTCCAGTTAACTGGTTCTCATTTCTTTTGAGGTTACTCTTTATATTACTCATCAGCCACAATTATTAGAAAGCGATTTATTACTGAGAAAAAATAGTCTTTACAACAAATGAAGGTGGAACAATTGTATACCCAAATGCAAAACAAAACAAAAACCTTCATCTATACTGTGTACCATATGCAAAAAGTAACTCAAACTTCTAAATGTAAACTCATAGTTCTAAATGTAAAACTAGAAATTTTAAAACTTCTAGAAAACAATGTAGGAGAAGCTCTCTATAACTTTGTGTTAGGCATATATTTTATAGATACAAACTAAATCCATTTTTAAAAAAATTATGAAGTTGTGTTTCCTTACAATTAGAAATTTCTGCTCTTTGAAAGACATTGTTAAGAGACAGAAAAGACAAGGCACAGACTAGGAGAAAATATTTACAAAACATACCTGATAGAGGAGTTGTATCCAGACACTAAACAACACTTAGAACTACAGGATCTCATGGTTGGTGAGTTTGAGCCTGTGTCAGGCTCCGTGCTGAACGAGCAGAGCCTGCTTGGGATTCTCTGTCTCCCGTTCTCTCTGCTTCTGTCTCTCTCTCTAAGATAAATAAATAAACAAAACATTAAAAAAAAAAAAAAAACTACAGTGAGATACCACTATACCGTGATATACACCATACAGTATACATTGAATGGCTTAAAAAAATTGACGATACCAAGTGCTAGCAAGGATGCAGAGCTACTGGAACTTGCATGCAGTGCTGGTGGGAATGCAAAATGGTACAGCCGTTTTGGAAAACAGTGTGGTAGTTTCTTACAAAGTTAAATATATACTTATCATATAACCCAGCAGTCCCACTTCTCAGTGTTTACTCAAGTGAAATGAAATCTTATGTTCATATAAAATCCTTCATGCAAATGTTTTTAATAGCTTTATTTATAATTCCAACAACTAGAAACACCCCAGCTATACTTCAGTATACCTATACAATAGACTTTTACTCACCAATTAGTAGCAATTGTGGGTGAATCTCTAGTGCATTATGTTAAGTAAAAGGAGCCAGACTCACAGGCTGCCTACTGTGTGATTCCATTTATTTGACATTCTAGAACAGGCAAAACTCTAGGGACAAAAAATTGATCATTGGTTGTCAAGGTTGGGTGTTGGAGGAGGAATACATTAAAAAGGGCATTAGGAAATTTGAATGGGGTGATGTAACTATTCTATATGTTGATTATGGTGTTCTTTTTTAAAAATCCTTATTTATATTCATTTGTTTAAAAAACCCATGTAACTGAACACTTTAAAGGATTAATTTTATTGTTTATAAATTGTATCTCAGTTTTTAAAAAAAATATTTATTTTTGAGTAGAGAAAG